GCAAAGCGATCATGCAGGCTGAGGCGCGGCCGGAGATCATGGCATGTTGGTTCGGGCTGGCAACTAGGTGAACTTCTTGTTTCAGACTGCAATCAAGGTACGTCTCTTGCGACATCTAGGCATTGGTACGGTGGCTGTTGTTGTCGTCCGCGTCCACATCATAGCAGGTACGACAGTACTTTGCAAAGTTAAGCATTGTTGACGTACTTACGTCTGCGCTAAACCCAGCTATCAACAGAAGTCTAGCCCTGGCAATCCAAGTATACAAATAATAGCCACATTGGGCCCTAAAGTCTATAGATACCACCGCATAAAGAAAACTATAGTAGTTTCCATTTTCTTTCCATTATCCCTATATAACCCCAACATACTATAGTAGTTTCCAGTATCCCTATTTGGCTACTTGGATCCTCAAGGTAAGCCTTGTACGTGCTGGTGCGAACCTAAGCCACCTCTGAACCCTGAGCCCTTGTGAAATCCTTCCAGCGTTCACCCTTGCCTTACTGGGGTTTAGTAGGGAATAAGGGAATATATCATAAAGGGATTATATAGGGATTCTACTCACATCTTCCCAACCAGTAAGTAACAATTCGATCAGGAGTATGCCAAGAAGCTAGAGGAGCACGAGAAGGTCGATGCCTGAAGTCGCAAAGGCTACGTAAGTCTCGGGACTTGCGGGCGAGTAGGTGTGCAATTGCGCAGATGGGCTGGGGAAGTACGGGAAGGTTGTGCTGGGTTGAACGGAATAATATTTTTTGATGATGCTTTCAGTCCCCTTTTGTCCTCCTGCATCACGGAATAAGTATAGTCCCCCTTAAGTAGATTGAATATGGAATTGGGTAATTTGTACTAAGATCCCCATATACCCTATATTCTGTCTACTTAAGGGGGACTATAGATGTAGGTCATTTTGCGTTCTCGGCTTGGCCCTTCGTTCTCGCGGGGCGCGTGTGGCGTTGTGTCCTGTACAGCTGTCGTTGACTTTGTGGAGCCTGTGGTTCTGGGTTGAGTCAAACTTGTAGGCAGGACAGTTTAGGGTTTAGGCCGTTGGGCGATCCTTAAAAATCTGAAATGTAGCCGTTTCCCTTCTGTAACCTGACCGTACTAGAGACGCCGAAATCAGAAATGATTCTATTGGATTTTCATTTTGCACAATTAGCTGCATAGCTTGCACGGGTATGTGTTCAAACCATGATCCTTCTGTTGGGACTTTGTTGTGGCTAGCAGCTGGGCAACTTGACATTGAGGATCCTAGCTTTCAGTGTTCTTGTGCGTAGAACTAGACTTGTGTGTGCACGTAAAGGGGTTAATTTTTGGGGGGAGATTGTGGCAGTGACAAAGGCAACTTCGTTCTGAGCAAGGCAAGGGCCCCTGTGGCTTGACTGTAGTAGCCGTAACAATAGTAACAATGGTAAGACTAGTAACTAACAATGGTTTAGGGTTACGACTTAGGGTTCCAAAAGCAAGAACAGTAACTAACAATAGCGATATTGGTAATAATACTAATCATAATAACAATAGTAATAGTAAGCCAAAAATAGTAATAATGATCATTGATCGTACAGCTGAGGCCCAAGAGGCACAGCGTGACCAAGAAGAGGCCAGGCCGCCGACGGGGAACGCAGGTTAAAGTTAAGGGTCTGGGATTTAGGGTCGAGGGTTTGGGGTTTGGGGCTAGGGTTTAGGGTCTTGGGTTTAGGGAACTGAGGGGAACCACATTTGCTCAATGATATGATCGGAACGCCCTCAGCAATGTCCGTCAGATCTGAGTAGTTAGCCATTTGGCTGTTAACTCATGTGTTTCAAGCGGTATATCTGCATAAAATAGCGTGCAGGTCTTTCCGAAGTTTTTGGACAGCTAGCAGAGCTTTGCTGGCTCATTTTGCTACGGCCGTACCGTACCGAAGCCTACAAGTCGCTTTCAAAGCCGCGTATTGCATCGTCAAATGATCCACTAGGAGTACTTCGACTTTTTCAGTATCCTTTCACCAAGACATTATCACAACACGCTAGGGGCAGCGCTTTCTGACGAAGTTGTGCTAAATCCAGAGTGGTAGAGGCATCTGAGATGTGCAAGACCAGACCACGTGGTGCTTAGCGGAGAAATAGGGTTTAGGGGTTTCAGATTTGGGGAATGGATCAAACATGGATTGTGAAATTTTGCTGGGAAACCCATTTTCTACCTCGCACCAGGTAGTAAGTAGATGCTTCTACTCTGGCAGGCTTCTTCTGGCAGGGAAAGGCAACGAAAGCGCATCAGACATCCAACGCATCTGAAGGCCTGAAAGCATAGAAGAACCAAAGCATCAAGAACAGATCCGCTGCAACAAAGGCCCTTCTTGCCACACCACTCTTGTACTCAACGTTTTCGGATCTTCCAAGCTTGTTCCTTCCTGCCAGCTGCCAACTTTGGGGAGCATTGCATTCCCCCGAAGCTTATTGGTGGAAACATCACAATCGCAGCCGTTCTGGTGCATAGGAGTAGCATGACAGTAGCATGACGGGGACGACAGCTTTCCAACGGCATAAGGCTTACTTCACAGTTCCTCATTCGAAGCCTTTCTTACTCTAGTCGTGTAGGCCTGGTTGTCCACGTCCCTTTATTCTGCCTTCCAACCTCGAATGTAGCAACGGCAGATAGCAGGTGCTTCGTCAAAAAAGCGCAGCTATGTCCTCCCACTTGGCCAGCACGAAGCATGACCAAGATCACCTCATGTGGCCCAAAATCCTTGCACGAGAAACCCCAAACCCTAAACCGACCCTAAACATTGAAGCTCAGCTGCCCTCAAACTATAGAAACAGCGTTGACGCCTGACCTGGATGAAATCATCCCAAGCCAAGCGAACTAGCAGGATCTGAATCCCAATAGAACCCCCATATAACCGCAATATAACCCCAATATTACATCCCAATATAACCCTAATATAATCCTTACCTAACCCCAATAGAAACCCTATATAACCCCAATATGACCCCTATATAATCTCTATATAACCTCTATATCTGAATCCTGAAGCATGGCCCACGTCATGCGACCCACTGCCCTCCTCCTTTGGAGTTATCTTCCCAGCGCTATGGGCTCCTGCAGAGTGGTCCCCGGGTGAGGGCTAAGGGTTTAGGGGTTTAGAGATTTAGGGTTTAGGGCTTAGGGTTTAGGGCTTAGGGTTGAGGGTTTAGGGGTTTAGGGGTTTAGGGGTTTAGAGCTTAGGGTTTAGGTTTGAAGTCTACCCCAGCGCCGCCTATGTGTTTTACTTCTGGGCTTGTTGTGGTTGTTTCCGTTCAGGGAGTATACGTATTTGTACCACACGAAAAGGAGCTACATGGCACGGTAGGTTCAGGTTATCATGTTGCAGTTTGTGGGGCTCTGTTCTGAGAAACCTCCGGTTTTCGAAGATTGCGATAGCTTTTCCTATATAGCCCTTGTATAACCCCCCACCTATATAATCCCTATATAACCGCTACATAACCCCTATATTGCTTTTCATGTGGGAGATTGAGAGATTGCGCCTGTGCGCAATATGAGGCGCCAGGGCCCGTAGATAAACCTGCAGATGCTTTTGCTCTGCTGAATCTGCCACATAGGGGTTATATAGCGGTTATATAGGGGTTACATAGGGGATATATGGAGGTTGTATTGGGGTTATATGGGTGTTGTATTGGGATAATGGCAACTAAAATGGGAACTACGATTCTGGGCTTAGGCTTTCAAAGGTATGGTCCGTTTTTAGGGTCGCTGCAGGTTTAATTGGTCTCAGCGTTTGGAGGCATGTGCGACCTGATTTTGAGGGAGTTGCTTCCTGCGTTCTGCAGTTCTTAGAAGCTGAGCCTCTTCCACACCGCCCCCACCCCCCACAGCATGCGAGAGTACTTGAGGAAGTTTTGAAACGACCCTCCTAGAATTCCTTTGTGCTTGCTAGCCTCTCTATGAGCAATGGCCAATACGCGCGTATTAGGCACGAAGGGAAGGACTGCCGTGAGATGTAGGAATCGCGCGAAAAGCCCCGAAAGCGACAGGACCCCCCCCCAAAAAAGTGATACCCCTCAATCTAAGACGTAACTATGACTGTGTTCTAGCTGAACCCCCCACAACAGCGATTCCTTTCTTGTATCCTACGCCAAAATCCTTAAAGCGATAGAACCCCCCCAAACTGTCCATGGCATATTATACAAGGAGTTTCGGCAAACGCTGGGATTCCAGAAACGCGAAGTCGACGCCTTTTTTTGGACACATTATATCATTAAATGAAATGAGAGAGAGAGAGAGAGAGATATATATATATATATGGTAGTTTCCCAAGATAGGGTTACCCCAATATAGACCCCCAAATAATACAATCCTTATTATTGGGACCCCCAAACAGGTGCCCCGAATTTTGGGAAACCCCCCATATCTCTCATATCCCTTGCAAGAGCACCCCGAACCTCATTAGGCAAAGTCAAAAACTGATGTGCTTCAGTCATCCAAAAATCTGCAGCAGAAATTTCTTAAACCGTAAACCCTATACCCGAATTACGCCTAAACCCTAAACCCGGAATGACACTTCAACCCTACACTCTAGATTATCTTGGTTCTTATGACCCACAAGAGGTGTGAATTCTACTCTGCTGCTGGGTGTTTAAATAATTGCATGTACTACGGTTCTAGATTCCCTGTATACTATGATATAGGATACCTCAAGTAGACCCCAAAATATAAACCACATTGATCCCTATGTATACACAGTTTCCGGTCCATGTTCCATTTTTTAGTCCATGTGATTCTCCAGGGTTGGGGGTAATATCCCGACACCCTAAAACCTATATGAGCTACAGCCGATATTTTCCCACATAAAGTGGACATGGGTTCCTTTTTAGGGAGTACAGCCCTGCACCCTGTACGTGTTGCAAAATCCCTCATTAGGTACCCCAAACCGTAAGCCTTAAACCCTAAACCCTAAGCCCCAATATAGCCCCCTAAGGGGTTCTTCAGGCCGCTGTAGTAGTTGACTTCTTTGATAAAGGAGACGGCAGGGGCTGAAGCTTGCGAATCTGCTTCTGGGCTGCAGAGGTTAGACCCCAAAGACAAGGGTACTGGGATCGGGATTGAAGCTGTAGGGCTTAGGATTTCGGATTTAGAGTTTAGGGCTTTAGGGTTTAGGGTTCCGGGTTTAGGGTTTAGGATTACCGCGGCCTTGATGGGCTTGAGCCTCAATAGCTGACGTGCCGCACCTTACACAGATGTAATTCTCTCAGGAGCTCATGCAAGTGAACTGAGGGTCCCTGACTAATGTGGCCTTTATCATACAGGACCCCGTTACAAGGGACCGCAGATGTTGTAACGCAGACCCAGCTCGGTACATACCACAATGCTCTCCAGGGACAAGCAGAACATCCGGGCAAAAGGCAGCTGCATACGAAGAGTGGAAATAGTGGTAGTGGCAAGAGAGCATGGTGTGCTTGATAGCGATCATCGGTACCAGGAGTTACCAGAATTTCAAGAAGAACATCCATGTGCCTGAAAACCCACCCACATGTGTCGGCTACCTGGCTCTGGGAAGACATGGAGCCCTTGGCTCCCTGATCTTGCAGCTTGCAAGCTTAAAGTCCCACCTACCTAAACCCCAAAAGTATGTAAAATAATGGCCTTTAGGGCTATTATGATGGGTTTAGGGCCATTATTTTACAGATTTTGGGGGTTTAGGTAGGAGTCATTCGTCTTGCAGCTTAAGTAACTTAGGGCCCGGGCATACGTTAAGAGCTGGGCTTCATGGAAAGAACTGCCAATTGATTCTGCAAAATCCACGCCTCGCAAATGATTAAATGGGTGTTCCCAAAAGGGGTTTAGGGTTTAGGGTATAGGTTTAGGGTTTAGGGTTTAGCCTACTATAATGGAGAATCAAATGGAAAAGAACATGGAAAATGAAATGGAAACTGTGATTATACTGGGG